AGCTCATAATAGAGAAGACGATGGAATTATATAAAGAAGGTAGGTGACCAACAAGCCCAAGGTTATTGTGAACGAAGCACTACCGTAACAAAGAGCATTGATGCATTTTGGGTTACTTATTTTCTTGTGCCATAAATGGAGGTTTCCTCATAATGTTTGCCACATCCTAGCAAACATTAGATGACATTTTTAACCTAATACAGTAGTTTTTCGCAATTTTGAACTTCGTCAAAATATCTGGTGAGATTGCAAGTGCTACTGCTTTCACTGATTAAAGTGCTAAACTTACACTCACATTGAATCAGGACAAGGTTTTGCATATTTTCCGTTCAATCATCATGCCCACTTGGTAAATAAAGTGGCAGTTTTCTTTGACTGAAGCCAAAAACATTGTTCAGCAAAATCAGAAACTATTTTGTCATCGGAGTACGCCAAGTTAATTGCTGACTCTCCTTGTTTCTGACTTCCAAATTCAGTTTGTCCTAACATTTATTTGTCACGTCTGTGGCCTACTGAATCTCCCACGTAGCATGTATCGTTCACTGCATAGATAGCCCTCTTGGCGCCCTTTGCACACGCACGTGCAACCGGCCGAAAATTAGCTCAGCTTACCAGATATTCGTTGGGCAACAATGTGTCATGCTGTTTAGCTCTTCCAGCTAGTGTACTCTTGGTAAAATGTCCCAAAAGGAACTAAAATTTTGTCCGGTCGCAAACACAGCTTTGTTTATTGAGTTACACCCGGAAAGCACAACGTTTCAAAGTCTGGCATATCTTTTACCTTACTGAGCTTCACGCTTTTCAAATTGACCCTTAAGCCTCCCTTACACAGAGGAGAAAAACAGTTGTTATGAGCACGTCATTTACCAAGCAATAAATCCTGGATGGCTGGAGTCTACGTCCTCAGCTTTTTTATCAGAGGACTTAGTATGTGCCTTTCCTATTTTTGTCGCTCTTAGGGCTGTGACCCTCGAGGCTGCGCTACCAGTTTATCAGACCTAACAATGTGAGATTTATCCACGTTCCATGTGGAAACACCCAAAATTTCCTAGCGTCCACGTCACATCTAATCTTGTCGAGGAGTAACTCAGAACGGCCCCTGACCGACTTGGTCTTCACGAAGAAGGACTTTTGTCAGCTCGTACACATGATCAACCAGTTCTGCGCCTTAGGTCCAGACGAGGTCAATCCAAGAATCTTGAACGAGACTCCGATTAAACTCGCAAAATATTTCTACCTGGTTTCTCATCAGTCGCTTGACGAAAACCGCACGCCATTGCTTGGAAGGGAGCAATTGCCACACCAATTTACATAGCTGGTGACAGGCTATTCCACGGCATCTGCTAGTTTCACCAGCGTGCCGTGGGAGGTGGTGAAAACAAGTCATCATAGATTATACTATTTACAACTTGATATCCTCAAATCAACAAGGATTTCTCCTAAGCCGTCGATGCAAGGCAAACATCCATGTAACTATGGACTGCTTTAACCAAGCCAAGGACTCATCGTATACCAAATTTTTCGACTTCTCTAAAGCAACCGATAACGCTGCAGATCGTGTAGATCTGCAACCACTTTCGTGGCATCGCACACTTGGGGTTTACCGGGAGATGCAGACTGACAAATTCCTGTTTCAAGTAGATACTCAGTTCGAAACTCCCACGAAACGAGGGAGCCGCTTATAGGCTCTGTCTGACCCCAATGGATTTGCCTCCCCGTGCCAAGGAAACTTTACAAGAGAAGCTATTGTCATGTAAACGTTTGGCAAGTGCTGGAAGCTGCGTGAGATAGATACCAGGATATGTAATAATATGAAAGGCTAATAAAATTAATTTTTTTTCTTCTCGTCCAAGTCGGACCCTTGGCTATTACAGATCGCGATGGTTGGGCGAATGGAGCCCGGTGTGTCCGCCATGATTGATGTAGAATGCTGGTTGAGGAGACATCATTGAGCCCTGGTCGCTTGTTAGTCGGTTGCGTAAGCTACCTTCATTCAACATTTTTCATGATTGATCCAATCAAATCTAGCTAGTTGCTTAAGCATCCTGGACAATGTGTTACTCACATAGACTTCCAGGTACCCTACGGGGTCTACGTCAGACAGCTTTTTGAAGGTCAATTGAGTTGTCTTCTATAGATGCAAGCAATTCATAACCCTCATTGAGCATGTTCAACGAGCCTCTACAAAAATGGCTGCCTGGTTCAAATCCGTTGGAATGAAACGCGCTTTGCAGTGTTTGACCCCTTTCCACTAAAATGTCGTCACTCCTGAGAAACACGGTTTGGTCAACCTGTCTTTCACCAATGGCCTAACTTTATAAGCCCTGGACGCACACTTCTTTAGGCAGCAATTTTTCTCATGTAGAGAGGTTGGGGCGTTGCACGACCTTCCTGAAACGGTTGTTCATGCGGTATCTATGATTCATTTCAATACTTTTTTGGACGCTTTCTTAGTTCAGTGCTAGGGTTGACAAGACTGCTGAGTCGCGCTGAGAACCAAAAAAACATTGTTACACTTCCTCTCGCTTGTGCATTTTCGGTAAACAGTGACCGGTGAACAGCAAAAAAACCCGACTCGGGAAGCTTGGGTGACAGCCTTAATTCTGTGTATCAACTTGTGATCCATAAAAAACAGTATCTACGCTAACATATAACACAAATCTACACCGGGCACCAAAGTAAATCATCTTCTCAAGCCCAATCTAGTAAGGGACTTTAAAACTAGACTCAAGACATGGCCTCCCGCTTCACCCATCGTGCGAACCCGACCCTATGGTAATCCTAATCAAATTTAAACCTAACACAAAACATGACGCTCGTACTAAGCCCAGATCCAAGCCATCCACCACTAAATCTAACACTTTACTGACTCTTATCAGAGTGCCAAATATTGCCCTAGTCAGATCGCAAACATTACCCAGACACCAGACGTGAACCCCATGTTGGCAATGACGCTTCTCCTTACCCTGACCCAACCCGGCAAAAACGTATTCCTAACCTTTAATCTAACATCAACTCTCATTATGAACTTAGCGCTAACAACAAGCCTAGCCAAAAGCGCTACTTTCACTAGTGCTGTTAAACTTACATCAACCCAAAACCTAAAATTAACCCCTACCCCAAACCTTTAACTGACCCTCTGGGTAACTCAAACCGCAACCTATAACCCACAAATGAGAAACTCTTTTATGAGCTTTACCACTAAGGTCACTTTCGGTCCAGAAACCGAGGCATTCTGTTGCAATAATGGTATGGCACTGGCACATCCATCCTGACGATACATCCGCAACTCTTTTCTCTATAATATGGACTAACCACTCCTGCTCTCTCGGAACCCTAGCTTGAAAAACGAACAAGCCACCAATCTGGACCAAACTTCCTATTGGACGAGTTTGCGCGAACCCACTCAGCCCTTTTGATGGATTTAACTTTTTCAGTGAACTAACCGTTTGTCCTCCACACAAACTCAATGATTGTTTACAGTTCATATTCCTTCCTATGCGTCGACGGTTCCTTATTCCCCATCAACTGTATCGGTAAGCCTATTCATTTTCACTGTGATGCTAGCAAACATTCATCCCTGTTTTAACTTTCTCCACCACATCATCCCGACTCACGCTTCTCAAAACCTCGACCAATAAATCGAATTCTCAAGGCCCCACCACCCCAGTAATTGTTTCTATTTTTAGTTCAGATCGCCCATTGTGGATGTGTTTCACTGTTCTCAATGTCCACTACATTGAGACCATGCCAATTTACGCGTGACCTCATCTGTGCCGAGTAATGCTAACTATTTATGTGACTGTTGTTGGACCATAACGTGGGGGTTAGCCATTGAACTATGAGCCATTGGAGTAAGCTTAAGCCCACCGCCGTTTTTCTGTGGTCCCGACAACGTCCAAGAACACATTGAACCCCAAAATATACCGAGAAAATTCCTAATTAGTGGTAATGGTTATCTTAACTAATGGGTAGCATAATATCAGGTCTGCCCATAATGGTGTACTCAGGATAACGCCAAGATTAACGGATTCACGGATTAATACACAGGATCGAGACTTTTGCCCGGGAAACTTGGGCTGGTCCGGGGCCTGTTTCAGCAAATCACAATGACCGTGGCCATTGCCTGAGGCAGCAGTGTGCGGACTGCGGACTCCTCCGTTTATCAGGCTGTGGTGCGAGCTACTTTGTTATGTGGTGGTAAACCCGCAGAGACAATTGGAAAGCGAGTGTTTGGGTGTGAAAAAAGGGATGGTGTCTAAGGAATGTGTCAGGGATCAGAAGCTGTGATGTTTATGCCATGTGTCGCGCAACTCAAACAATCGACCGCCGAAGAGTGCCGTTTTTCATGCCCTATAGAGCGTGACGCGAGCAGAAATATGGTGGATTATTTACCTGGAAGAGTTAAACGAAAATGTTTGCGGAAGGTGCTTGCGGACCAGCTCCCGAAATGGAGTCTGCTTAATCTTTGCCGCAAAATATGTCTTTTATCTGATAATAGTGTTGTTGATTTCGTCGGTTTGTACCCATTTTGTCCAAACTTGTGTCCGAAAATATAGATGACCCAGACCGATAGTGAGCGGCCAGGATTACTCCCCCAATCACTATTTTTCTTTAAGCCACAAAAATTTGTTTCACACAAACTTCGGATATGAGACAGTAAAACATTGATGGTCGTGTACAGGCATTATACTGTCGATGATGGTGAATCCTACACGCCAACTGGTATCCGCCGAATACGAGACAGCATTAAACAAGGGTGGAACACACCACTATTGTATAAACATGGTGCGGGAAATTTATTTGTTCAGTTCGCATGCCCGTTCGTCGTTGCTTCACTTCGCGCTCTTGATGGCGCGTAAGATGCGTATACCCCGTTTGGCCAAGTAAGAGCTCTGGGACACATTTATGTACAGAATCCGACGCACACGTTGAAATGTCCCGAGGATATTTCCCCATAGAGGGCCGATGATGTCAAAAAATCGTAATCATGCACGTACATGACTGTTTTCTAGTTCTTTCATGAACTGTCTCACAAGTCCGTCATTGTTTCCTGTCGCGAGACCGTCGGACTGTTGTTGTTGCTGCTGCTGTACAGCCTCCAGGTGGAGGGTGGTATGCGTAGCGTGGTCATATTCCCCATGCTCACGCGCCCGATCTAACTCCCTTGAGAGCGCTTCGAACGCCTCAGACAGATCGTTGCACTCGGACTCCCATCTGGCACATTGAAAGCTGGGGGGAACGTATTATGAAGTCGTACAAATGCAAAACAAGATTAGGGGTTTTGCAAATTGAGAATGTGAGACCACAGAGGGTTGTGGGGGAACAGTTCGTTAAACAAAGCGTGAGAGGCTCCTCTATACAACCTCATTCTCCTAAAAGAACAGAAACTATTGTTGAAGAGAATTCAATTCGAAGAAATTCATCGAAGTCAGGTGCGCACCGGCATAATCCCTGTTGTGCACAGCATACTACTGTCGTACATGTTCCGACTATAAAACGGAACGCATGCTACAAAGTTTGGGTTCCGTATCCGACTGGCACAGTTTCCGAGACGGGAGCTCAACAAAATTAGTTGACCGGCGACCATGGATCCGTGTTTTCCGGTACTGTAATTATCACGTTGGCGGTTGGCGTGTTTTGTGCTTAACAGCGCACTCTGAGGTTTATTGCACTGTCTTACCCACGTTTCTGATTAGTTGACCTGTTCGTGGCAAATTGGGGTGAAATTGTACAGCTATACGTCCATAGTTGGACTGGAGTCATAGCAGAAAGAGCTGCAAAATGGAATAGGTACCATGTCTGAAAACATGTTCTTCAAGTATTCAAACAGCGTCGGGTGGAATCTTGCGCCAAAGTCGTCTCATATTTCGCAGTAAGGCACTGCAACGACCAGCAAGCCAAACGTGCACGTGATTGGTCAGAAGGTCAGTATGCTAGTTTGTCCAGCATCAAGGCAAGCCCTGATTGGTCAAAAACTTGAGGCCAGAGCAACCAGACCCAGACAGAAAAACAATTAAGGTCTTTAGCCAAAGCATTTGGCTCAAAACCTGATAGCAAAGCAGCAGTGCTTGGTGGGAAATTCAAGTGCATTACCATTTTTATAGAACAAGCCGCCACACATGTTCCAAACTCCAACCTGGACGGCCTGGAGACTATGCCGGTCAGACCTCCAGCCATTGACCAGCTTGGTATGACAGACCCTGTACGTGCCTCATGGACCACCCAGTTTAGCTCATTGCGTCACACATGAGCACAAACCTTCACACCACAGTAGGGTCCAGTCTCTCTGTGATGGACCTGTCGTATGGTGCGCTGGTTAATGAGACCACGAATAGAGGGAGCCAATAAAGTGTAATCAGGACAAAGGATGAAACTACAGATGACGCTTGGCTTCGTATGCTCGTGTTCTTGAAGTCGTTCCAATTGACCACGATAGTCGTGCTGAATGGTACCGATTTCATGAAGGGCGTGCTCGCTGAATGT